TGGGAATTCCCATTTAAAATCATATTACCACATTTATCGAGAATATAGTGCAATTCGATAGGCCTACAGTGCCACATCATCTATTCAACACGGTATCGTAATATATATAATATATGTTATAAATCGTATAGTTCTGGGGTCTTTCTGAAGAGTCTTGTAGTCATTCTTGATGGAGTTGCCGAGAGACTTGATAGGGGGACAGTGATCAAATACCATAGGTATACGAGTACCGGGGATAGGTCTATGGGTGTAAGATAAAAGGTCTGAGCGAGATTTAGAAGATGCTTTTAATATAGCAGATAGTATTAGTTTGAGGGGACAGTGACAATTCAAAAAGTTAGTAGTGAGGCGAGACAGCTGTTGTTGGTAGTCTGTAGGGTCCGAACAGATTCGCTTGAGTCTGAGACACTGACTGTACACGATAGACCGTTTAAGAGTGATAGGATGGAATACTGAATAACAACAATTCTGATGGAAGCAATGGCTGGATCTCGGTAGAGAATACGAAAATGGTAAGCAACAGCTAAAAAGTAAACAACCAGAAATATAACATATATATATATATATATATAGTATATATATATATACATGTATATATATGTATATGTATACATGTATGTATATAAATAAATGTATATATACATGTATATGTATATATACATATACATATACATATACACATATATATATATATATATACATATATATATAATTATAATATATAACTAGAGATACTATGTTCAATAGAACATGAACCCAGTCATTTTAAAGAGATAACCACTGTGACCTTTAACCTCAACCTGTGAACACCCCATGTTTGGTAGGAGTCTGTCTAATGCAATTGGTCCAATTGTTAGTCACTAGCAATATTTGATAATTTTCACTATATTGACCCTTGTGATTTTTGGCCTATAGGTGAAGAGTAGTTTTTCATGTTTAGAAGGTCCTAAGATTATCATTCCTGGTAAATTCGAGCTCAATTGGGCTAATTTGAAAATTTGACCCCGATGACCCCTATGTAACCATACTGATGCCAGACAGGGGTGTAGGAGGTGTCACTGGTTCTTAATGATCAAATTTGATTGAAGTTGGTTTAATCGTTTGCCATTAGTAACATTTTGAACCTTTGACCTATGAACTTTGATATATGAGGTGAAGAGTATTTTTTCGTGTTTAGAAGGTCCTAAGGATCATTCCTGGTAAATTTTGAGCTCAATTGGGCTATTTTGAAAATTTAACCCCGATGACCCCTATGTGCCCCCTGATCCCAGACTGGGGTGTAGGAGGTGTCACCGGTTCTTAATGACGAAATTTGATTGAATTTAGTCCAATGGTTTGCCATTAGTAGCATTTCGAAATGTAACTAGAGAGAACAAAAGAATAACACTTTAATGACCTTTGACCGTAAATCGCTGAACACCATAAAGACCCTACCTTATGCCAATACATATGTGCCCAGGACAAGACTGTGCTATGAAATTTGTGACAGAAGTCTTTTATTAATTTTTTTGAAAGTTTTTTACTCTAATGACCCCTATGTGACCTTTGACCCCAAGCAGTGAACACCCCATGTATGAGAGGTGTCACCGATTATACTGACCAGGTTTGGTTGCAATCGGCACAACCGTTTGGCACTAACGTTTTGAAATGTTGCCAGAAAAAAGATAAAAATTACCCCTTTTATAATAATGACCTTTGACCCCTTATCCCTGAACACCCTATAGACCCTGCCTTATGCCAATGTATATGTGCAAAGGACAAGACTGTGCTATGTTGGTTGTGAGACAAGTAGTCTTTTATACGATTTTTTGGTTTTTTGTCCCTAATTCCCTTTATGTGATCTTTGACACCAAGTTGTGAACAACACATAAATAGGAGGTGGCACCGGTCCTACTGACCAAGTTTAATTAAATCGGTCCAGTAGTTTGCCACTAGTAGCCTTTTAAAATGTTGCCAGAAAGAAAGAAAGAAAGAACAAGAGATACTATGTTCAATAGAACATGAACCCAGTCATTTTTTAAGAGATAACCACTGTGACCTTTAATCTCAACCTGTGAACACCCATGTTTGGTAGAAGTCTGTCTAATGCAATTGGTCCAATCGTTAGTCACTAGAAATACTAGATAATTTTCACTATAGTGACCCTTGTGAATTTTTACCTATAGATGAAGAGGGTTTTTTTTTAATGTTTAGAAGGTCCTAAGGATCATTCCTGGTAAATTCGAGCTCAATTGGGCTATTTTGAAAATTTGACCCCGATGAACCCTATGTAACTACTGATGCCAGACAGGGGTGTAGGAGGTGTCACTTGTTCTTAATGATCAAATTTGATTGAATTCGGTTCAATCGTTTGCCATTAGTAACATTTTGAACCTTTGACCTATGAACTTTGACATATAGGGTAAAGATTATTTTTTTTTTTTGTGTTTAGAAGGTCCTAAGGATCATTCCTGGTAAATTTGAGCTCAATTGGGCTATTTTGAAAATTTAACCCCAATGACTTCTATGTGACCCCTGATCCCAGACTGGGGTGTAGGAATTGTCGCCGGTTCTTAATGACAAAATTTGATTGAATTTGGTCCAATGGTTTGCCATTAGTAGCATTTTGAAATGTTACTAGAGAGAACAAAAGAATAACCCTTTAATGACCTTTGACCATAAATTTTTTTGAAAGTTTTTTACCCTAATGACCCTATGTGACCTTTGACCCCAAGAAGCGAACACCCCCATGTATGAGAGGTGTCACCGATTATACTGACCAGGTTTGGTTGAAATCGGTACAACCGTTTGGCACTAGTAGCGTTTTGAAATTTTGCCAGAAAAAAGATAAAAATTACCCCTTAATGACTTTTGACCCCTTATCCCTGAACACCCTATAGACTCTGCCTTATGCCAATGTATATGTGCAAAGGACAAGACTGTGCTACGTTATTTGTGAGACAAGTAGTATTTTATACGATTTTTGGTTTTTTGACCCTAATGCCCCTTATGTGACATTTCACCCCAAGTTGTGAACAACACATAAATGGGAGGTGGCACCGGTCCTACTGACCAAGTTTTAATTAAATCGGTCCAGTAGTTTGCCACTAGTAGCCTTTTAA